AATAAGTCTTTCAAGTTCTATTAGCTTCCAGAAAGCAAGGTTATGTCATCTGCATATCACAGGTTGTTAATGAATCTTTCCCCAATCCTGATGCCATGTTATTCATATAATTCAGTTTTTCAGATTATTTATTCAGCATACAGATTGACTAAGTATGGTGAAAGAATACAACCCTGACACACACCTTTCCTGATTTTAAACCATTCAGTGTTCCCGTGTTCTGTTCTTGGTCTATGTATAGGTTCCTCATGAGCACACTTAATTATTCCGGAATACTCATTCTCTGCAATGTTGTCCATGGCTTGTCATGATCCACACAGTTGAAAGCCTTTGCGTAGTCAGTAAAGCACAGATAATTATCTTTCTGGTATTCTCTGCAGCCAAGATTCATCTGATGTCAGTAATGACATCCCTCATTCCACATCCTCTTCTGAATCTGGCTTGAATTTCTGGTAGCTCCTTGTTGAAATATCTTCAACAAAACTTGTTTTTTTAAAATAAAATGATCCTCTAGTGAGTTCTAGCAACAAAACAATTTTTCATAAACCCAGTTTACATGTATCAATAATTCTATGGTAATTTAGTTTTTGAATCTTCTAATTCCCATCCAAGGGAGCTCTGGTAGCGTAGTGGTTACGAATCGGGCTGCGAACCTTAAGGTCAGCGGTTCGAAACTACCAGCCGCTCCGCGGGAGAAAGATGAGGCTTTCTACTCCCGTAAGGATTTACACCCTCGGAAACCCTGTACAGGGTCGCTATGGGTCGGAACCGACTCGACGGCACTTAACAACAACAACAACAATTCCCATCCAAACTGTCATTGTTACCCAATTATAATGATGCTTTGCCTAACGTGATTTTGTTGCATGATGTGGTTTCGTCTGTATGGACTATAAGCTTGCACTGTAGTTTTCATTGCTACTGATGTTTTTACAGTTACCGACTTGGTGAAAAACAAAAAGCATTACTAAGGAGTCTGTCTGGTCTGGTATTGAAGGCAGTGACACCATAAGTTATCACACTGGGTGACACCTACCCTAGTGACACCTACCACTATGTCTGATTCCACTCATATGAATTATCTAGAACCAACAGATTCAGAGACAGAAACCAGACCAGTGGTTACTAAGTGATTAAGGAGTTACTACCTAATGGACACAGTTTCTATTTGTAAAAATGAAAAAACTTTAGAAATAGATGGTGGTGATTGTTGTACCACATAGTAAATATAATTAATGCCACTGAACTGTACAATTGCCATTGTTAAGTATCAAGTCGGTTACAACTCATAGTGAGCCTGTATGGGATTTTCAGAGCGGCTGGTGAGCTTGTATCACCCTTTGGTTCAAACCGACCTTGCAGTCCAGAGCATTAGCCCACAGCACCACACCAGGTGTCTACCAGAACTGTACAATTAAGACAGTTAAATCTTCAAAATATTTGGAGAGGAATAGTATCTGTGCTCTTTGCACCAAGCACAGAAACTGACAAGATACAGAGTTAATCTGGGAACTTGTGTTTTCTGGCAAAAAAGTAAAGCCCAGGACTTGACGAGTGCACAAGGAACTATGTAGCACAAAGCAGGGATTCTTGGCGTAGTGATGAGAGAGAGCAAGGGCATGCAGAGATCAAAGGGCTAGTCTGGGAAGGGACCCCAGAGAGGATGAGGCTAAGCAGAATCTCAAAGGGCAGGAATTCACAGACAGGAGCCACTGTGTGGATGAAGTAAGGAGACTGAATCTGAAAGACGCAAAATTAAAAATAGGAAGTTTTGACGTAAAACAACTTCAGAAACAGGGCAATAGTAGGTAATAGGGATAAGTAGGAATCATTTGTAAACATAACTTGGTGGTAAAAGCAATAGTATTAGATTGTGCAATAAGTGGTTTCATTGGATGTGGAAGGTGAGGGAAGACTTTCGAATAATATCCAAGTCTCTAACTTGGATGATCATCTTATTAACTGAGGTTGTATCAACAAGAGGAATACATTGAGCAGTGACAAAGATTCCTGGTTCGGTTTCTATGAAACTGATTTTAAAGTACCTGTGAAATTTCTAAAGGAGCCTTGGTGATGCTGTGGTTAAGCACTAGGCTGGTTCAAATCCACCAGCCACCCCTGGAGAAGATGATGTGACAGTCTTCTTCCGAAAAAAAATTGCAGCCTTGGAGACTCTATGGGGCATTTCTATTCTGTCCTATGTTGTTGTTAAGTGCCGTTGAGTCGGTTCCAACCCATAGCAACCCTGTCTAGGGTTTCCAAGGAGCAGCTGGTGAGCTTGAACTGCCGACCTTGCAGTTCAAACAGCTTTGCAGGCTGGTACATTAACCCACAGCGCCACATCCCACCTGATTTAAATTTAAATTCTATTGATGTGGACTAAAAACAGCTGTTTAGATCATAAAAGACAAATCACAGTTTACATGGATTCATTTTCTTAAAACAAAAATCACAACTCCTATTTTGAGACAAAGGAATGTATTTTACTTCAGAAGTCTTCATTCCGTGACCACTTAGTCACTGTATCAATGAAGCAGAACTGATCTCTAGCAAACCACACGACTTATACTTTGTATGTGTAGAAGTTGGGTGAACATACAAAACTAATACTGTGACAAATTATAAAATGCTTTTTTTTACATCAAATACTTAAATCTAGTTACAACAATATGATCTTTTACTCCTGAGGAGCATAAAGATGAATAACCTCGGATTTCATTAGAAATATCACTCACAAACACTCATAGCCACTTGGGTTTGACTGTGGTTAGGAAAAAAAATGCTTCCTGAGATGGTCTTATTGGTTCACAACTGCGCCATGATTCACTAGCAGATACAGCGTATGTCTACTGTGAAGCCATTTCTTTAAATTTAACCCTTTGAGATGACTCCAGAAGTGCAAGTCTTTACCATCTTGAAAGCTTCACAGAAGAGACTAAGAAGGTTACCATCATTCCCAGAATGAGGTTCCAGAGCCGAATTCTTGTCTTCCCTGAAGGAATCTGGATTCGATTCTCAGTCACTGTAATTTATGCACAGCCACCACTCATCTGTCAGTGGAGGCTTACATTTGCTATGGTGCTGAACAGGTTTCAACTGAGCTTCCAGACTAAGATTGACTAGGAAGAAAGGCTTGGCGACCTAATTCCAAAAAGCAGCCAATGAAAACGCTGGGGATCACAACAATTTGGACCAGATCCAATTACAGGGGTGGCACAGAATCAGGCAGAGTTTTGTTCCATTATACATGGGGTTGCCATGAGTTGGTGGTCAATTTGCGTAGTGGTTACAAATCGGGCTGCAAACCTCAAGGTCAGCAGTTTGAAACTACCAGCTGTTCCACGGGAGAAAGATGAGGCTTTCTGCTCACATAAAGATTTACAGCCTTGGAAACCCTATACAGGGTCATCCCGAGTCAGAACCAACTCCATGGCACATAACCACCATCACCATTCCGAGAATATGCTCATAAACCATGTTCTATTTATTAGGTTAATTGCTCAGAAGTTGTAAGACATCTTGTCAACACCCAATTGAGCTGCTCTAAAGTTTGGCCTTCTACCCAATGACACTGGTCCTTGTACAATCAGAGCAGCTAACCCCCAAGTGAACAATGGTAAGGGACACAATAGTAAAGGGTTTAGGAACACATGGTGTTTTTTTGTTAAGCTTGTTGTTGTTGTTAAGTGCCATCGAGTCGGTTCCAAATCATAGTGACCCTGTGTAGAGGTTTCAATGAGCGGCTGGTGGGTTTGAACCACTGATCTTGTGGTTAGCAGCCCAGTGCTTATCCTACAGTGCCATACCAGGATAAGCTTAGGCTTATCAAAACTCCTAAGGCCTCATCTTGATTTCTACACAGACCCTCAGATTCATACAGATAAATGCATAAGGACACGCTCATCTGTTCTTCACAAGTACTCAGGACTCTGACAAGAAATTTCATAAATTTATAAAATGCCATTTCCATGCCATTTTCTGAATTCAATAGTTATTTCATAAAGAACAGGAGATGCTGTTTTTAGCAATGAATTTTGAATAGGAGTACTTCTGGCACATACAGAAAATTGCAGATTTTAAAAAGCTCATTTTACCTACTTAGGACATTTTCTCTAGATTTTAAAGTTCATTTTACCTACTAAGGACATTTTCTCCATCATTTACTAAATTCTGCCCATTTTCAAATTAACTTACTATTGTTGACCAAGTATCTTTAAACTATTTGTACATTTCATTATATTTATCTATTTATTAAGTTGACCCCATGGAACTTACTACATTTGACTATTTTTGACTTATATAAAAACAAGCTTTTTCACACGGTTGAACCACATAAAAGTCAAACTTCAGGGGCTGGGTAACTTTCCTAACATACACACCATACAATGGGGCTTCAAACACTCCATGATGTTTTCATTCCATTCTCCCATAAATTTCGGAAGCCCCCTCATCCAGTATTTTCTGCTTGAGTTTAGCAGGGAGAGTGAAAATGCTTACCCTTACAAATTGTGCTTATACACTGCTGGTGAATTTCATGAATAGATTACTTGTAGCAATTTCCACAAGTTTATTACGTATCCAAATAAAAAAGTCTGGTCCAAATAGGGTATAGTGTCTTTGTAACTATTTCATTCACATATCCTGCAAGATTGCCTTTTCAGGTTTAAGGTCAAGTGTAGAATCAATAGTAAAACATCAAAGCATTTTCCATGTGGAATTCTGCTGCATCTGTCTTCTCAGAAACATTCAGCATTACACAGTGTCTGCCCTGTGGCACTGTGTTAATAAGCACCAGTGAACCAGATGAGCCCCAGACCTTGCTCTCAAGAACACCTGCCCTCTATTTAAAAAGACATAAAAATATAAATAACAAGAGGATATTCTAAGTGCTTCCAGTTTCAAGGGGGATCAAGTAAAAAGTAGAAAGGTGACAGCACTTTCAGAGCTTTGGACCAACTTCAAACTTCAAAGGCAAAAAGCCAAATGTGAAGGTGTATTGAGTCTAGATTCAGGCTAACATGATAGTCACAGACAGCTTCCTCCACAGGTCTGGACCTAAGAAGTCCTTTTATCAGTCCCAGAAACCATGACTAGAGGTCCTCCAGGTCAGTTAAATCCACAGTCACTTTCAAGAACAGAATGTCATCTTTAACATAGGTGTTGTTGGTGTTCTCCAGTGTGGAATGAGCCACGAAGCGGGGACAACCAGATGCAATGTTCATCTCCCCATCGGGCCTTTTAAAGCTGCTGCTATTGGGGTCGGCCTTGAAGGTCTCCGTAATGTGATTCTTTTTGCCACTCTGGTCCAAAAGCATCAGGGTCACCCTCTGCCTGAATGGCCACTGCAACAGTGAGTCAAACTCCCCCCGCATCACCACAAAGTACAGTGACAGGTGTGTCCCCTTCCCGGACCCGTCCCCATTCAGATAAGCTCTAGCGCAGAGCCGGTAGCCACACCGGCTGGTGTAGAAGGGCTGACTGAAGATGGAGACTGTGTGTCCGTCCACTGCCTCCCTTTTCTTCATCTTGTAGTCTGTCACCTTCCAGATGAGCTTCCCATTATAGCACGCACCTTCTAGCAGTTTAAATCGCTCATCGTTTTTATTCAGCTGCGCTTTATGAATATTAATGTGAGCATCATGTTTGTTAGTCTGGCCTTCCAAAACAACTGCAGAGAGACAGAGAAAAAGATTCCATAAGCCGGCGAGCTCTCTTTAGAATTTGCCCCAAGTGGGAACTTTTACTTCCTGCCTGTAATTCTGACATTCCGAAGATCAACAACTGAACCCGAAGTCTCCAAGTGAAGCATTTAAATTAATACTATTACCTTAACAAGAAAGCCTAAATGTGCTCTGAAAGTTGGGCCTTCAACCATCATGCATTAGCCTGTCAAGCTCGTTTTCTAAGTAGACTGATGTTAAAATAGCCAAACTCTTGCATATTTTTCCATACTTGAAAAAAAAAGTTCCCACACATCTCTCCTTCAGCACTGTCATTGTTTTCAAAAACCACCACTCCCAATTCTTTGGAATTCCCTGGCCCCTTTCTTCCCCGTGACTGTTTCCACCCCCACACTCACAGGCCGTCCTCATTATTGCCTGAGCTGCTAGAATCTCACGCTGTTCTCGGCCACAGCATATCTTTATCTTGCACAGCTGTGGTTGGCTATTTCCCCAGATGTTTGCTTCTTTCACAAACACATACAAACAAGCAGGCCACCAAAAGAGAAGTAAAATATCAGACATACCTAGTCTGTAATCATTGGTTTCAAGCAGGGTAATTTTCTGTTTAATTGCATCAATCGCTTCCACCAAAGACTTCGTGTCAAGTTTATTTTGTTGCTGGTTAGCCATTTGTAATAACTGACACACTTGAGCTTCTAACCACGCGGATTTGTCAATGTGACTGGAAAGAGCCTTTGGATACCAAAAAAATGAATATCTTAGTAGTTTATGAGATTGATTTTTTTTCCAACTCAAATGCTTCACATTTTCGTGAAATACAGAAACCCATGAAAAATACACTGTCCAGGAAAGAAATTCGAGGAGGATCGCTGTGAACCCAGCCAACGAATGCCTTCATCTTCCTTTCTTATCCCAATTCCTGTTACACATCTTTCGGCTTTTCTTCATTTGGTGTGTACTCTTCCTTCACTGTCCCTCTGCTTGGTTCTCTAACGCACTTTCGTTCCTCCAGTCTCATGCTGTCTCTCTCCCTTGTCTTATCATTTCTTTGCCTTCGTAGAAGCTCTTCTCCTGGACTCCTCTCCTGCTCTGCTGGAAGGCAGGAGAGTGAACTGAAGAGGACACACCTGTTCTCGCCTGAGCACTACAAGCAGGATAAGTGCCCTGAAGTAAGGCCTGAACTTTCCATGGCTCTCTTTAGACGAAGGAGATTAAAGTGAACTCTTACTCTATTACTCTCCTAGCCTCACCCTACGTGTCTGAACTTCAAACTGGTATTTGTGTTAGGAAAAGTTTGGAATTGAAATATTAACACATAAACACTTATATGTATACTAAATATAAGAAACACTCATATACATATATTGTTGTTGTTGTGTGCTGTGGAGTCAGTTCCAACTTACAGGGACCCTGTACAGGGTTTCCAAGACCCTATATAGCTGGTAAGTTTGAACTGCCAACCTTGAGGTTACCAGTCCAGTGCTTATCCAACAGTGCCACACCATACACAAATAAATACATATACTAAATGTACGTAAATATGTATGTGTGTGAGTATGTTGTTAAGTGCTGTTGAGTCTATCCTGACTCAGAACAACCCCATGTGACAAGAGTACAACTGCCTCATAGAGTTTTAAACATTGTGCTCTTTATGGGAGAAGAGCCACAGGTCTTTCTCCCATGGAGTTACTGGGTAGGTTTGAACCACCAACCTTTTGGTAAGCAGCAGAGAACTTAACAGTTGCACTACTAGGGCTCCACAAACATACCCATGTATGTATATGTGGTGGTGGTGTGCTGTGGAGTTGGTTCCAACTCATAGTATAGGGTTTCCAAGGCTGTAAATCTTTACAGGAGAAGAAAGTCTCATCTTTCTCTCCCTGTGTATTTGTGTGTGTATATATATATACACATTACATTATACAATACGTTATATAGAGAGAGGTCCTGATATCATAGTGGGTTAGGCATTCGGCTATTAACCAAAAGGTCAGAAGTTCAAACCCACCAGCTACTCCTAGGGAGAAAGATGAGGCTGTCTGCTCCTGTAAAGACTTGGGAACCCTGTAGGGTTGCTATTGATGAGCACTAACTCAATAGTAGTTTGAGTTTCTTATGTGTGTGTGTATACATACATTGCTGTTGTTGTTAAGTGCCGCAGAGTTGGGTCCAACTCATAGTGACCCTGTATAGGGTTTCCAAGGAGTGGCTGGGGGATTTGAACCACCAACCTTGTGGTTCAAACTGACCTTGCAGTCCAGAGTATTAACCTGCAGCAACACACCAGGACTTGTGGGGTACAGGGACATGGACATAATTATGCAGTGTACTCTCAAATGTTCAGAAACACACACACACACACAGATATATATATTTTATATTTATGGAGTCCTTTGAACTGCAAAGTCGGTTTGAACTGCAAGGTCAGTGGTTCTAGTACACCACCTACTCCTCAGAAACCCACTATGGGTCGGAACCCACTCAACAGCACTTAACAACTATATACATATATACACAGGAGTCCTGCTGTGGGGCTGTGGGTTAATGCGCTGAACTGCAAGGTTAGTTTGAACTGCAAAGTCAGTGGTTCAAGCTCACCAGTCACTCCTCAGAAACCCTATACAGGGTTGCTATGAGTCGGAACCAACTCCACAACACTTAAACAACAACATACATACACACACATGCACACATCTGTACACATATGTATATGGACTTCTGGTTAGCGCTGTGGATCAGCAATGGATTGCAAACCACAAGGTTGGCGGTTCAAACCCACCAACTGCTAAACTGCTCCTTGGAAACCCTATATACACACAAATGGGGAGTGCAATGGTTCCATATAATAATCATTGGACTGTGAACCACAATTCATGGCTCACACATGAGAAAGATAAGGTTCTCTGCTCCTGTGAAAACTTAAAGCCTCAGAAACCCTATACAGGGTTGCTATGAGTCAGAATTGATTTGATGGCACTTAACAACAACATAGATATATACATACAGAGAGGAAAAGAGATGGGAAATGGGAGTAAATGTTGACAATGGGTGAATCTTGGGAGAAGGGTGAATGGGAAAGCATACAGGGATTCTTTGCACTATTCTTATACTGTGTATTTGAAACACTTTCCATATAAAGACTTAAAAGAAAAAGCTTCACTGCAAAATCTTGACTCTGTAAAGTCCATTTCTCACCTGGATGTTTGATGGCAAGTTTCCATTTTTGCCAAACAACTGTGAAAACTGCTTGAATTCCTTTTCAAATTTCTTTACGGTTTCTGCTAGTTGCTGGATTTTACTTTCTTTCCGTTCTAGGCTCTTATACAAATCAGAAATCTAATAACAGGAATACGAATGAGGGAAAATGAGGTCATTTATAAGCATGGATACAAGTTAAAATAATTTTAACATCCCCCCTTTGCCATCTAGTTGATTGTGACTCATACCATCCCTAGAGTACAGAGTAGAACTGCCTCATAGGCTGTATAATCCTGACAGAAGCCAAATGCCACACCTTTTTTCCTCAGAACAGCTTGTGGGCTAGAACAACCAACCTTTCAGTTAGCAACTAAGTGCTTAACCATTGCATTACCAGGGCTCCAATTTAAATCTAGTTCTTTGAGAATACTTTCAGGTATGAAGGTGTTTATACAAGAAAATGCATACATTTATGTTCCTAAGTAGAACCCTATATAATTCTAGGAAAACGTTTGCAGGTGTTTCCATAAAAGCAGATCTCATCGGCCTTTTCTATACCTAAACTGTAATACTTATTCACCTAACGATGGTGATTTCACGAGATTGGATTTACTGAGCTGATTCTCCACATTCAATCTCTATAATAATAAAGAACTCTGGTTCTCCACTAAAGAACCGCAGAGTACTAATCACTATACCACATTAGACACTATATGCAGAGTACCAATAATACTAATAATAGCTACAATTTGCTAAATGTGTATCACACCTTCATATTCATTAACTCTTTGAATCCTCATAAAACCCTATGAAGGAAGTAGGGATATTAGTCCCAGTTTACAAATAAGGAAATAGAGGGAGAGACTTCAACCTGCCCAGCATATAGCTCACAAGGGATATGCAAAACATGCTACTCAGAATTTGTGATCTATTTTAGAGAAACAACCAGAAACCTAAGAGTGAGTTTAGATGACTTTTCTCTCAGTGCCACATCCATTCAGTCGGCATTATTTGCCAGTTTAATTCCCCAAACACAATAAAACAAACAAAAACTCCTAAATCTATTTACTTCATTTCATTCCAGCACGAGTTTCAGCCTTCACCATTTCTCACCTGGGCAGTTATGACTGCTTCCTTCCTAACTAGTCCTAAACTACCGTCAACCTCCTCTTCACACACATATAACAAAGGGAAGGGAACCGGGATGGGGACCTAACTGTCCACTGCTGTTAACCCCAGGAAATGGACTGGTACCTGGCACCAGCAGGTGCTGGATAAATATTTGTTGAATGAATGAATGCAAGCATGCTGCCCTGCCTTTAGTATTGCTCTTCAATTCATACTCATACACTGTGTCCAAAGTAATGTTAAGCAACAAATCTGGTCTGGTCACTCCCCTACGTAAACATCTCTACTGGCTTTCTTCTGTAGGCCATAAACAGGCCCTATATATTCTGCCTGCCTACCCCTTCAGTCATATGCCCATCCCTACCCCCTGTAGTCTGCCCAACAATACTATTGTTATGCTGAAGAGACAGCAACCCTATGCACAACACAACAAAACACTGCTCGGTCCTGTGCCATCCTCACAATTGTTGTTATGTTTGAGTCCATTGTGGCTGCCATCTCTTTTTCTCTGACTCTCCACTTTACCAACAATGATGTCCTTCTCCAAGGACTGGTCCCTCCTGACAATATGTCCAAAATATAAGAGACAAATCCTTGCTTCTACAAGAGCATTCTGATTGTACTTCTTCTAAGGCAACTTTGTGTGTTCTTCTGGCAGTTCATGGAACTTTCAATATTCTTCTCCAACACCGTAATTCAGATGCATAGATTCTTCTATGGTCTTCTTTATTCATTGTCCCACTTTCACATGCATGTGAGGTGATTGAAAGAAAATACCATGGTTTGGGTCAGGAGCACTTTAGTCCTCATCATCTTTGCTCTTTAACACTGAGGCCTATTGCAGCAGATTTGTTTAATGCAGTGCATCTTTTGATTTTTTTTTTTTTTCACTTAGGCAGTTCCCACTTGCTCCTCTGCTTAGGAGTTGGTAGAGGGTATGTCAAATCCTAGTTTGCAATAGGGCTAATACAGTGGAAGGCCATAGGCAGGTCCTATAAATCTTTTGATTTCTTGACTGCTGCTTTCATGAGCCTTGAGTGTGGATTTAAGAAAAATAAAGGCTTTGATAACTTCAATCTTTTCTGTTTATCATGATGTTATTATTGGTTCAGTTGCGAAGATTTTCATATTCTTTGCTTTGAGGTGCAATCCATACTAAATCTTTGTTCTTCATCAGTAAATATTTCAAATCCTTTTAGCTTCCAGCAAGCAAGGATGTCAAATTCTTCCTCATATAATCCAGCTTCTCAGATTATTTGCAATGGATGTTTATTATGTTTTCATCTTTCTAGTTTATTATGATCACACAGTCTAAAGGCTTTGCATAATCAACAAAGCACAAGTAAACCTCTTTCTGCTTTCAGCCAAGATTCATCTGACATCAGCAACGAAATTCCTCATTCTACAGCTTCTGAATCCAGTTTGAATTTCTGGCTGCTCCCTGATGATGTACTGCTGCAGCCATTTAAAAAAATATCTTTAGCAAAATTTCACTTGCATAATTTTGTTCAATGATCTCCACATTCTATTGTGTTACTTTTCTTTGGAACGGGCACAAATATGGATCTCATTCAATCAGTTGACTGATGCTGTCTTCCAAATGTTATGTAACAGACAAGTGAGTGTCTCCAGAGCTGCATCAGTTTGTTAAATTGTTTAAATTTGTATTTCATCATTTCATGGAACCTTGTTTTTCACCCATATTGTCAGTGCAGCTTGGACTTCTTCCTTCATCTTTAGTTCTTGATCATACGCTATCTCTTGTAATGGCTGAGCATCCACCAACTCTTTTTGGTACAGTGACTCTGTGTATCCCTTCCAACTTCTTTTGGTGCTTCCTGTATCATTCAATATTTTGCCCCTAGACTCTTTCAATATTGTAACCAGAGGTTTGAATTTTTCTTCAGTTCTTTCAGCTTAAGAAATGCCAAGCGTGTTCTTTCCTTTTGGTTTCCTAGCTCCACATTTTTTTGCACATTTCATGATTTTGTCTTCTCAAGTTGCCCTTTGACATTTTCTATCCAGCTCGTTTACTTCTTCATTTCTTCCCATTGTTTTAACTTCTCTATGTTCAAGAGCAAGTTTCAGAGTTTCTTCTGACATCCATTTGGTCTTGTCTTTCTTTCCTATCTTTTAAATGGCCTTTTGCTTTCTGGTGTATGATGTTCTTGATGTTTTCCCACAACTCTTCTAACCTTTGATTATTAGTGTCGAGTCTTGGTATAGCACTGTGGGCTAATGTGTCAGACTGCAAAATTGGTTAAGTTGTTTGAACTGCAAGGTAGGCGGTTCAAGGTCACCAGTTACTCCTTGGAAACTCTATACAGGGTCGCTATGGGTCACAATCAACTCACAGCACTTAACAACAACAATAGCAGTGCATCAAATCTGTTCTTGGGATGGTCTCTAAGTTCAGGTAGGATGTAATAAAAGTAATTATTTTGGCTCTAATGAATTTATTTTAATTTTCTTCAGCTGCTAGCCTGACTTGCACATGAGCAATTGATGGTCTGTTCCACAGTTGGCCCCTGGCCTTGTTTTAGCTGATGTTGTTGGGTTTCTACCTTGTCTCTCCCCACATATGAAGTCAATATGATTCCTGTGTATTCCACATGTGTAGTCTCCATTTATGTTGTTGAAAAAAGGTAGTTGCAATGAATAAGTCATTGATCTTGCAAAATTCTATCATGTGATCTCCAGTATGGTTTCTACCACCAAGTTCCTATTTCCCAGCTGCTGTTGGTTTCCACTTTTCATATTCCAATCACCAGTAATTATCAGTGCATCTTGATTGCATGTTTGGTCAATTTCAAATTGAAGAAGTTAGTAGAACTCTTCAACTTCATAATCTTTGGCTTCAGTAGGTTGGTGGGTAAATTTGAAGAATAGTTGCATTAACTAGTCTTCCTTGTAGGTGTATGGGTATTATCACAGACAGCACTGTACTTCGAGACAGAACTTGAAATCTTTTTAATGATGAATGTGACGTGACAACATTCCTCTTCATTTTGTCGTTGCCAGCAAAGCAAACCATATGACTGTCCTATTCAAAATGACTAATATCAGTCCATTTCAGCTCAACAATGCCTAGGATAGCGATCTGGCATTCCATTTCCTTTATGGTGACTTCCGATTTTCCTGGTGTGGCGCCATGGGCTACTGCGTCAGACTGCAAAGTCATTTGAACTGCAAGGTCAGTGATTCAAGCTCACCAGCAGCTCCTTGGCAACCCTATAGGTTGGAATCCACTCAATGGCACTTAACAACAACAACACAATTTTCCAAGATTCATATTTTGTACATTCCACCTTCCAATTATTAATGGATGCTTGCAGCTGGTGCTTCGTATATCCTATTTTTAGCACCTTCCAACTTGAGGCGCTCATCTTCCGGTATTGTATCAGACAATGTTCTGTGATATTCATAAGGTTTTCAGTGTCTAAACACTTAGAAGTGGTCCGCCTCTCTTCCTACTCTGTCTTAAGTCTGGAAGCTCTGCTGAAACCCAACAAGACTAAATAACTTAGAGTTAGGCGCTGTTCTCTCAGACACTTTCCGCCTTCAAACAGAAACTACTTCCCCTTTAATACTCCACTCAAGGGCACATCCTCTAAAAAATGCTTCCTCCCTAGGATTACCAACCAGGATACCTCTCAAAATCCAAGACACCTGTCAAAAACAAATTAAAACCTTATTGCTGGGAAGTCAACTATAACTCACAGAGACCTTATAGGGAAAAACAGGGCCCCACAAGGTTTACTAAAACTGGAAATCTTTACCAAAGTAAACTGCCACATCTTTCTCCCACAGAGAGGCCAGTGAGTTCATACTGCCAACCTCTGGTTAGCAGGCGAGCAGAGTTTGTGACCTGGTGCATAACTCATGTCTAACTTACCATTATTACCCTTAAAACTTGCTTTTTTGGGCAGGGGTGACCTGTTTTCTCTATCAACTGACTGCTTCTTGAGGCTGTGACTCACTAATGTCTGCATCCCCCCCATGTGTAGCAC